CATTGTATCTATAGTCTTTGCTCCTAACCACTAAGTTTATGTCTTGGTTAGATTTTTACTTATAATGACCAAAAGAGTTTTCTTCAGAAGTTATAATTTCTTCTAATTAACTAATTTATCAAAAGATTGAGAAGGCTGATCATGCCACACAGACTACTGTTACAGTTACCATTGCTATGCAGCAAACCATCCCCAAACTTAGTGCCATAAAACAAGTTTAGTGTTTTAGATTTTATTTTGCTAGCTGGTTTATTAGGCCAGGAATTCTAATAGCACACACAAAAATGGCTTGGTTGTGTTCCACGGTGCGTGAGGCCTCCACTGAGATGTGACAGCTGAGGGCACCTGGGTGCTAGGACATCTTCAAGCTTGCCACTTAATGCTACATGACACTTGGGACTTTGCTAGAGGTGCTGGCTGGAGGATTTACATATATCCCGATGTAAACCACTGCATGGAAGCCTTAAGTTGCATTTCTTACATGGCAGCTTCAAAAAGCAGTGTCGCACTGCATTCCCTTGCATTCCCTAGCCTTGGAAGCTGCACAGTATTGGTTAAAACAGTCAGAGTCCCTACCCCCATACTCAAGGAAACAGTAGTGGTTGTCTTTACCCAAAGCTATTCTCCAACCTTTGGTTTATGTTCTAAGATAGTTATTGCTTATTTTCACCTCTATGGGTGACATCAACTCAGCAGCTTGCCCAGTGGAGAGCATAAAGAGGAGGAGCCCCAAGGGCAGGTGGAGAAGAGCTCGGGGAGCATGCTTCTAGTCTCCTCCCTGCTTTGGCTCACATTGCTGGCAAAACATCTTTATAACTACAGTTCCTGTAAAATGGCTAGAACACAAGGAAGCACAGGATCTACTTTGTCCAGTGGGACACTCTGCTTCTTGAGGCTGCCACGTAAGAAATGCCACTGAAGGCTTCCATGCAGTCAGGTTACCTGGGATTACAAGTTAATGCTCTAGTCAGCTCCAGGAACTGGAGGACTCCAGTTCCTGCTCTCCCTGGGTTCCAGCAAAACTATTTCTATACTTTGCCCCTTTAGAGCGAGGGATGCTAATTGCTTTTTGTTCCTATAGGTCTCTAAACACCTCAGTATCCCTTGTTGGGTCCTTAACCCTGCCTAGAAAGTCCATAAATAATCCCAATGTGAAAATCTCATTTAAACTATTGGAGACCTTTCTGATCCTATTGGGGCTGATAAGAGGCATACAGAGATTAAGACCTACAGAGATTAAGGCAAACAAAGATTGAGAGAAGAAACGTGAAACGTTAGTATGAAGGCTTCTACTACCTTCTAAGGACTTGATGAGATTGTTCCATAGTGCTAGTATGTCTCTCCATTGCTGCTATGGTTTGATTGTGGATTAAATTTGTTCCCCAGGCCCATGCACTGGAAACTTTGTCCTCAATGTGTTAGACGTTGGGAGGTGGTAGGACCTTTAAGAGGTAGGCCAAGTGTGAGCTCCTTAAGTCACTAGGCATGTGACCAACCATTGGAAGGGATTAAGGAAAGTTCTTGTGAGATCCTGTCTTAGATCTTGCAAGATGGTTGTTCTAAAAGATAAGCCTGGCCACTCCCCGGTCCATGTGGCTTCCTGTGAAGCCACTCACCGTGAGGCCTTCATCAGAGCTGAGCAGATGGTAACACCACAACTTGAACCTCTAGAACTATGAGCTAAATAAACTTTCTTTATAAAGTTACCTGGCTTTGGGTATTTCAAGACAGTAACAAAAACAGGATGGCTCAGTAACTATACTCATGATTCTTTCAAAAATAGCCTTTTCTATAAAAATGAATTATTCTTTCAAAACCCTCAGCAAATAAACACATATATTGTTGTATTTCTGATTCACCATAAAAATAACCTTAGTTTTCCATTATTCTTATAAAACATGTTTTCTTCTATTGATCACCTCTTTCTTTTCAAAGTGTTTACAAACAGAATACCAAATAATCCACTTTATAGTTTTGCTGGAAATTGAAACTCCAGCTTACTGGTCTCTACCTTCCAGAACTTCCTTTTTGTCAATTTTTTTTTTAAGTATGTTTGCCATGCTCTATTTGGAAACAATGGCCCCACACTGCATGACTTTGGGCCTTTGGCAGCACCTGCTCCACCTTCCTTGGCTTCTCAAAGATGACTAGCAGTGATAAGAATGATTACATCTGTAAGTTTCCTGATCACCCTACATGACAAAGACCTCACTTTATGTTTCAGAATACCTTTAAGGAGGCCCATAATTAGAACTATTCTTTACTGAGTACCAGATAAGCATTTCAGTGGGTCATTGTGATCTAGTCACATACATTGTCTCTACTGCTGTTTCTTCTAAACATCAGTGTTTAATAAAAATAAAGGCAGTCTTATTTTAATGTATTATTTTCGTTTAAGGTAGTGAAATTTGTCCATTTTCCTCTAGTTAAATAATTTGCAAGCTTCAGTTTATTTTTGGCCTAGTTCTAACAGAATTCTTACAGGCTGTTACCAGTTGTATCTTTTCGGTTTTAGTTTGTTTTCCTTCCTATCATTGGTTACACTCTCCCCCTCACAACAGCTATACTCATTCTTTTAAATCTGCATTCACTCCTCTGGTCTCTTTGGATGAAGCAGCATTTTTCCTTAGTGGGCTATATGAAAACTTGAAACATCACTTTGTTTAACTTTCCATCCTCTTGATTTTTTATAGTTTCTGCCATGTCTTGTCACCTAGAGTATGAGGCTATAATAGCAAGGAAACAAGTCTTACATTTTTGTCCCAAACAACACTTAGTAAGGCATCTTACACAAAGACATGTATTTGCCAGATATTTGTAATGTGTTGCAGGAAGAAAAGGAATAATAAGTTAAATTTTTATTCTTTAAACAGCTGTTAGAAAAGGCACTAGTCCTTATTCCCCTAAGGAATAAGGTGAACACTAATGTTAATGTAACCAACCTTGAAATTCTAAGGGCTGTGAGTCTGCTTCGTAAGTAGTTGGTAGACAGAATCCTGGAGCAGGCTGCACAGTGGGAGACTTCTAGAGAAAAGTGGGCTAAAAAGGGAGCAGTGGAAAGAGTAAGCCAAATAGAGCCTTTCTTAGATTTCCTTGTCTAACTATGGTTAATGGTTGAAATTTTTAACTTATTGAAATATTAGCAGGTGGCTAACTTTAAAATTTGTCAGTATTCTTCTTAAACTTTAACCAATATTATGTTCTTACTTTCTGATTTCTGTGGAGGTGGTTCTGAACTTTGTCTAAGCAGCCAACATAACACACTACCAAGAAGATCGGGTCCAGGTGCACAGGCCTGAAGCTTACACTGCTTGGCAGGCCCCCTTTGAAAGAGAATACAAAATTACAAATACAAAGTATAAAGAAAATATTCCTTAGAATAAGAAAGGAAATCACAACACATGACTGGAGCCACAGAGACATAGACTCCTTCTTCTGACACAGCTTTAGGCAATTTACCAGGAATGCCTACTTAGAAATGCTTTTGTTTGAACCCTGTCATTTCCTTCCCACCTAGGATCTCTACACCTCCAGCAGTACCAGCACTCCCACAGGCCTGAACCAAGGAACAGCTCTGCAGCTTAAATTCCAGAAGCTTCACCTTAGAGCCACCTGTCAAAGGGGCCTCATTAAAATGGTGAGCCAGCTGGGAGAGAGACTGGGGAAACAGACCACCAGACAAGTTCAAAACAGTTCCAGATGATTCCGATACACACTAGCTACTCCCACCACCATATTGGAAGTTTCACAGAGCATCACCACTGACTGAAAAGACAACATTAAGAGAGGAGGGAAAAAAAAAAAATCAAGCAACTGCTCAGTCGTCCTTGATCTTACATAAAGTGTGTGTTGAAAAGTCAGTATTAACCTTTTACTGCTAAACATAATATAACCTCATTATTTTATAACTTAAATAAATAGAAAATTAAGAGCACAACACATAGAAAATTAAGAGCACAACACCGATGCTGTCTCCGCAGAAGTCTTCTATAGAAGACTATTGGACGGACCCACCATTCATTTAACCCTAAGAGGGGAACAAAATGGGTTTGCCATATTCCTCTTTGGAATCCAGTGTGCTGGCTCGCTTACTAACTTCTCTCTGCTCTCCCAGAACAAAGACAAGGTAACGTCTCAAGGTAATAGTTAACTGTTGCACCGACTTCTCAGTAATTAATAAAGTGCCGATCTGAACTCAAGTCTTCTATTAGCAGCAACTTGAGAAGCTTGGAGAAGACATCTGATCGCTCCAGAAACAAGGTATTTTTCTTTTCCAAAACTCCAACTACCATTTACACTCACCAAAGGTGCAGCACTAACCCCCACAAGTCAGTTTCCTTCCAATGACATATACAAGCCAGGCACAGCCTTTGGCCTCACATTTCTAGAGGGACTGGGAAGGAAAAACGAAAGCTGCTGGCTGTGGGTTGGATGGCGGTGGCGGTCCCTGAAAACTCCTTAGGTCCCCAGCGGACACAGTCCCTTTTCTCTCCTGGAGGGGATTTCCTTGCACCTAATTCCCACTGGATTCGAGATGCACTTCAGATGTCACCCAACCTTCAAATCCACAACCCACAGCACTAAATAAATCAGAAACCATTTCTCCACACTCGGGGGATCTCTCTCCCAGAGTTCAGGGCTGGCAGCTGGCAGCTGGCAGGGGCGGGGGCAGTCTCAAAAGGCCACCCGCCTCCCGGGGCTCAGGGACTGTCATCTGGAGAAGTCCGTGGCAGCGAAGGAAAAAAGAAATCACAACTTTTCAGAGCCCATTAAGCTACAGCCCTGCCAGGCGGAAGGTCAAAGTGCGGAGGAGGGCGCGGCTGCAGTTTGCAGCCCGCCACGACGCGGCACCGGGCGCGGAGGACAGCGGCCAGGCGGGGTCCACAAGCTCCGGGGGTCCCCGGTCCCCAGAGCCAGCTCGGAGTCGCAGACCCTCGGAGCGAGGCGCGACGGTGGCAACTCCAGAGTTGCCTGGGAACTTTGGCGGGACGCGCCCTCACCTTACTGAACACCTCCAGGTCGTCCTCGTCCTCGTCCAGGTCCAGCACGTCGGCGGGCAGCAGCGCGGAGGAGCTGCGGCCGCCGGGCCCCGGGGCGCCGTCTTCCCGCGCGCCCCCGGCCGCGAGCCCCGAGCCGCGCGGCGGAGATGCCCGGCGCTCGCCGTCCATCCCGACAGTGCGCGCCCCGCGGGCGGCCGCCGCGGCCCCGCGCCCCGAGCGCGCCCATTGGCTCCCGCGCGCCCGGCGCCTCCCCGCGCGCGCCCGCGCCAACCCCCGCGCGCCGCGCAGACGCGGAACCGCCGGGCCGCGGAGGCGCCGGGCCTGCGCGCATCCCCACCTGGCCCGCCCCCGCCCGGGAGCTTGCCGGGGAGGGGGTGTCCTCTCACCCATCCAGCTCGGTGGGGGTGGGTCAAGGACAGCCACCAAGCTGTGGCTGGGGGATCCACAGCCGGCTGGAAGGCGGCCGACCCAGCCCGCCAGCTGACCAAACCGATCCTGGATTTCCTGTAGTTAATGGTGCCTTTCTCCTTGGTGATTTTCCAGGCCGTTTTGAATCAGACTAAAGCAAAAGTAAGACGCTTCTCTGGTTTGTAAATGAGTTTTGACCCAAGGACGACTTTGTGGTCATTTCACTGACAGGCCAATGAAGCAGAGATTGAAAAGCCAGTCTCGGCTACTTTCTAATGTCTCTTTGCTCCTGGAAGTCTTGAAGTTATGAGCAAGAATGTTACCAAGCGCCTAGGATTGCTACTGGGATTGCATGTTTCCACTGAGAAAAATCTTAAATCCTTGCACGCACTGCCAATGCAAAGCTGCAGTCATTTAGCTTTAGTTTAACTGAGGGTTTTTTTCCGAAAGATAATGAAAAAAATGAATGCATGTGGATACTTTTTAAAGCTATCTTCGGATTTTTTTCATTATTTTTTCAAAAATCAAGGAAAACTGAATGCAAATAGATACTTTTTAAAAATCTGTCTTCAAGATTTTATCATTTAATCCTCTGAGCCTCACCTTTTTTTTTTCTGTAGGTCCTGTTTAAAGTTTTTTTTTTTTTTAAGTAAATTAAGATGTATGTAAGGGTCACGAATGGTGGTGCACACCTATAATTCCAGCAGTTAGTGAGGCTGAGGTAGGAAGATCAAGTTCAGCCTGGGTTGCACAGTAAGACCCTGTCTTAAGGAAAAAAAAAAAGCAAGCCAGATAATATCCCACAGTTCTATTTCTCTTAGAGGGGAAAGCTAGGAGTAAAGTTAAAAAAAAAAAAAAAATCCGTACACTAATTTGCCCCTTTGGTTGAGAATTACCTTCACATACTCCCCATCCCCATTTCTTGCAGAATATAGTGCCTGGGTAGACAGTCCGCAGCTCCCCAAAGGAAGAAAATCTCAAACCTAATCATTAGTACAATTGAAAATCTAACATGTCCAACTCCTAAAGCCTCTAAACCAGTAAGATGCAAAGCTTTGAGTGCAGGTGCAGTATTAAAAGGAGCCAACCCTTTCCCATCTTTTGATTCCTGGACTCTTATTGTGGTCACTATTCTTTGTGATGCTCGAACCACCTGAAAGTGAGCAGCTGCAGTACTATGGCCCAATTCAAGGGTTTACTTGAAGGACAAATCTCCAGAAATACAGACCATATTAATTCATGGGTAGTGAGCTGCAAATGAATTGCAAGGCTTCTGGTTATGGTCAATGATGTTCTTTCATCAGAACATGGAAGAAACTTTAGCAAATGATACATAAAAATGGAGCTTAGTGGAGTGTGTGGGTAGACTTTCCAGAATGGTCATGGATTAAGATATGTGTGAATGTGAAACACCCAGCAGAGGGCCACTATTTCGGAGGTAACTCTTAATTGATCAGGTAGACAGAATTCACACTCTGATGACAGTCTGTCATCCTTTCTCCCTCCCCGCCCCCCATTGTTTACTGGCCCATGAACTAAGCTTGTGGTTTGAGTCTATCATGGGCTCAAACACATGGGCACCCTTTCACCAAAGCTGGACTGGCCCATGCCGCTGCTGTGTTCCTATTTTACCAACAGCATGACCAACAATGAGTCCTCCATGGTATAGCAACGCTCCTGGTATGTGCAGGAGAAACCACCAGTCACCTGGTGGCAAGTTGATTTTGTAGAAACTCTGCCCTTAAGGATTGAATAAAGATTCATCCTCATTGGATATCACTTTACCTTCTCCGCCATTAATGTTTCTGCCAACACCACCAGCCATGGAATCACAGAACGTCTTACTCACCAACATGGCATTCCATGTAGCATTACACCTGATCAAGAAACACATGTTATAGCAGAAGTCATCGTGAGTGTACATGATGGAAACGAATTCTTCCCATAGCATCCATAGCCTATAAGTAGCTGGCTACACTGAAATGTGGACCAGCTTCCTGAAGACTGCTCCAATACCACGTGAGAATCCCAACCTAAGATACTGGAGTTCTGACTTGAAGGCTGGAGTATACACTTTGTGCCCGAGTCTGTTGCATGGTGTGTTTCTTCCCTGTAAGTAGAAAACATGGGCTCGGAAAGCAAGAAGTGGAAGAGTGACATTCTCATTGTTACCCTCTATAGCACACTAGCACAATTTCTGTTTTCCATCCCATCTCTTGTGGCCTGGAAGTGACACGTTTCTTTTGCTTATAACTCATTGGCCAGAACAGGTCATATGGCTCCACTCAATCTGAAGGAAGTTCTAAAGTACAATCATCCATGTGTTTAAGAGTCAGGGGGTCAAAAATACTTTAAGAGAACACATGACAGTTGTAACCCTTAAGCAGTTAATTCTACATGATTAACATGAGGCAAAGACAAGCTTAAGAGAGGGGTCATAACCTCAAGCCTGTGATTAATACCCAATTATCTGCAAGTGTACACATTTTTAAGTGACATTTCTTATTGGCTTTGAGAACACAGTCATGCATTTCAAATTATTAACTTCCAACTTCTCATTAACAAAGTTGAGATAATTAATAGCAGAAACTTCAAAGGTCATGAAGATCAAAGAAACTAATATATGGGAAATTATTTTGTGAACTAAATATCTGTATAAATCTAACTTGTTTTTATCACTATTACTGTTAGTATTATTAATTTAAGAGATAAAATACAGTTCCCATATTTGCCCTGTAATTGCATTTGAACTCCCAAGCAGTAATGTTTGAGTTAGTTCCAGTAATACAACGTAATGCTATGCAACTTCAACTAGAATATGTGCTTTAAAATAGGTTTCCCTTACTGTTAGATGGGATACTGGCAATTTCAAGTCCTCTGTCATTTATTGTCATAAATAAATAAACAGGAAATAAATGTGTTAGAATACATAAAAGTAAACATGGCTTTAAATATCATTAAGTCATCAAAACTCTTAAGAACATAGACTGTATATAACTCCATGACCTAAAATGGCCTACTTTTTTCTTAAACAGTGTATAATAATCCTATGACCAAACATAGGATCCTAGGAATGATTATTAATTAATACAAGAAGCAAATTTATTATTTAATACAACTAAAAGCACAGAGGTAGGGAAAACTCTGAGCATAGTATGATCATTGCTCAATAAATATTAATCAATTCTGTAAATGAACTTATTTTAAATGGCTTAATATCTCCAAACTCATTTCTAAATTATTAAGTTTTTAACTGAAAACAAACTTTCACTTGTTTTTGAAAGCTTCTCAGATCCACCATATTCTTTCTATAGACAAGACCTACTGGGCAATCATTTTTATTTCACTTGAGTAGCTCCAGTGTAATCAGACTTTACCTGCAGTTCTTTTGAAGATACTTTCTTTGATGAAATTTTTAAAATGGTTCTATCCTCTGCACTGCAAGGAAACATTAGATAAAGTTACACCTACACATTTTCTATGTTTGGTGAGAGCCTTAAATGAAGGTGCTGTGGAACACAGAGGAGCAAAGTCAATGCTTCTTTTCTTTCTGTTTTAAAAATAAATAACAGCTTTCTTAAGGTATAATTCACATGCCATACAATTCATCCATTTAAAATATTATGAATCAATGATTTTTTTAGTAAGTTGTGCAAACATCAACAAAATAAATTGTAGAACATTTTTATCATCCCAAAAGGAAACTTTACCCCATTAACATCACTCACATTTACCCCCAGCCTCAGCCCCTGGAATTAATAATTTACCTTATATCTCTTTAGATTTGCTAGTTCTACACATTACATATTAATACAATCATATAATACATGCATTATTATGATTGAATTATTTCACTTATTAAATGTTTTCAGGGTCCATGCCTGTTGCAGCATCTACCAGTACTGCATTCTTTAATCACCATCTAATATGCAACTTTATCAATATGCCACATTTTATTTATACATTCATCAGTTAATGGATACAATGTAAATTGTGCCCATTTTGAGTTACTCTTGATAACCTTGCTATGAACAATTATATGCCAGTTTTTGTGTTTTTGTGTGGACACATTTTCATCTCTTTGGAGCATGTACCTATAAATGGAATTGCTAGGTATATAGTAACTTCTGTTTAACCTTTTGAGAAAGTGCCTGACTGACTGCTTTTGAAAGCAGCTGTACTATGTTGCATTCCTACCACCAGTTCGTGAAGGTTTCAGTTTCGCCACAGCTTTCAGGAAATGTGGTATTTTCTTTCAGGCATCCTAGTAGTGTGAAGTGGCATGTCTCCGGATTTCATTTGCATTCATCTGGTGACTAATGATATCGACTGTCTTTGCACAAAAAAATTGGCCATTTGTATTTCTTCTGTAGAAAGTATCTACTTATATTCTTTCCCTTGTTTTTCTATTGTCTTTTACTTATAGAAAGAGTTCTTTAAATTTCTACATGAGTCTTTTTTGAGATATATTACAGAAAATATGTATCACATACTGTGGCTTGTGTTGTCACTTTCTCAAAGATGTCCTTTGAAGAAACGAGAGTTGTAATTTTGATGAAGTTCAATTATTTTTTTCTTGTGCTTTGATATCCTATCTAAGGTTTTTTCTAAATCGAGATCATTGCTTTGATCAAATGTTTGTGACACCCCACTCAAGCTGATATGTTGAAATATTAACCCCCAAGGCAATGGTATTAGGAGGTAGAACCTTTGGGGAGGTGGTTAGATCACTGGAGCAGAGCCCTTGTGGATGGGATGAA